TAGCTTAGCACAAACACTGGAACTGGGGGAAACTGTTAGCCTAAAAATTCGCTAATATGATTCACACAATGTGCTTAATGAAAGTGTGTAGAAGAAGAAAAACTGTGAACCTTGAATTTCTGATATCTGGACACAGTCTCATGTTTTTTTTCTTGCTTAGCTTTTTAGTTAAGGAGTTAGCTAGCTCATTAGCGTCACTTACCTTTACTAGCAAAAACTGACGTTATGTAATAATAGTTTAATCGACGTGTGAGCTCTGCTGTCTGGTCCTCGGGGAGATACAAGACTTTCACCTGAGAGTGAAAATAAGTCTGTTAGAAGTAACGAAACGTTTCTATTGTTGTCTGCAGCAGAGTCGTCACGGAAAACATTTAAAACCGATTATCTCACGATCACAACCAGAACCAGAACCAGGATATGAAGACGAATGAGAACAAAAAGTTTTTCAACTGTTTTTTAAAATCTTTAACGTTTCCTCTTTTTTCATCTTTAATTTTTGAAACAGTTTCAACTTTCATGTCTGAATAATGACCACCAGGGCAGAGAAGTAAAGTCAGAGACGACAACAGCAAACATCAGACAACCGGATACGAGAAGTCAGGACGATTATATCTGCTCTGGTGCTAACGGCTACATGCAGGTTGAAATCCAAACATCGTTTCATTTATTTAGAACTTTTTCTGGCCTCGGACCGGGCCTGGTTTCAACCCGATCGCTTCATAAACGCTGTGTCTAGACGGATGTGGTTGTTGTGATCTTGAGCTAATTTAGCTTCTTTGGCGTCCGTGACGAGATTCTTTCTCTGTGACATTTAAATTGTACAAGCGATGAGGTTTGGACGCTCATCTCTCTGCTTCCATTGGAGCTCCAGGAGCTTCCATCGCTGTCCCACCTGAGATCTTCCATGAACCCCCTCCCCCTCCCCGCCAGCTGTTCTAACAAGGAACCTCAACGAGGAACCTTAACGAGCTGCCTGCCTGCGCTTCATTAGAGAAGAAACTTTATCGGTCAGAGTTTACAAAGAGATTTGACAGAAGCCAGTTTACTGAAAGAGGACGAAGGAAGAGTTCAATAAAGAACAAAGCAGCTCAGGAACAAAGGAGACGTTTAGATTTAGAAGCTGAATCCAAAATGAGTTCAATCCTATAAAACCTTGACTTTGATCAGCAACGGTCCAAATAATGAATTTATTGAAACTGACCCGAGCTTTACAAGTTTGGCATTAAAACTGCACAAAGCAACAAAAAAAGACGTGAGTGGGCGTGACGCTCAGCCAATCAGAACCACCCGTCTGACCAGAGTCTGACCAGATGAAGTACGGAGGCCCACGAGTGACAAAAGTCACCGACGAGTTTCACTGAAACATAGAAACTATTGGCACCGGAGAACTTTTCAAACTATTTGGACTTTTAATGCTGAACCTGAGCAGCTTTAGTTTAACTGGAAGCTTCATCTGACGACGAGGTTTCTGTTGATCTGTTTACTAAAAACTCCAGATGACAAATTTAACAGGAAAACAAACGATCATTACAATTAGTTAAAATAATCCAATGTGTGAAATGAAAACTAAACCCTGACCGTACGGAGTTTGCCGGTCGGTCCTTTGTCCCCTCCGGGCCTCCGTACGCTGACGTCCTGCCTCCTGGTGTGTTGGCGGTGTGAAACCTCATATCTCTGCCGGTTTTCTGTCGTTGTTGTTGTTTTCAGGAGCCTTAATGATCTAATAACTCAGAGTTTTAACCTTCAACATTAAAGCTGCATCTTGGATTGTGAAGTTCGATATTAACCTGCTCAGAGTCTCTGTGTTCCACCGTTCTGTTGGTGAACTTTCCGTCTGGAGATATGAGGTTTTGTGCGAGCGGCAGCGTTCGGTCGGGTTCTGGACTTCTGCACAGAAGCTTGTTTTCTTCCTCTTCAGTGTTTATTTCTGTACAGATTCTGTGATTTACTGCATGCTGGATTGACTTTGTGTTTTGTGTTTCGGCTGCTTCCCGCTCCGACTCGGCCTGTTAGCGGTGCTAGCATCCCTCACTGGGAGCAGTGGCGTCTGCTAGCCGCGAGCTAACAAAACGCCAGCGCTGCGGACTTTGATATTCTGCGACTTTTGACCTGTTGTGTTTGTCTCAGAGGCTTAAAGCAGCTTTTTACCGTCGGGAGAATGTAGAACTTTGTACAATCAGATTCTTACTATGATGATATTATTATTCTGGATATATCGCGTTTGTATTTGAAAGCTTTGTAACGTTGGATCGGACTTGCTCGCGTCGTGTGAATCCCTGTAGAGACACTTTGTGCATTATGAGCTTTATGACTTCTGTTGGTATGAAAAGCCTTTTAGAGTGTGAACTGCTGAATGTGTTGCTTCACTGCTGCTGCCCTTTATTTACTCAACATCTCGGCACCATTTGGCTTCCCGCTCAGCCGCCACTCAGATGTGGAGGCTGGAGGTCGACAGGCGGCTGCTGTCATGCCAGAACTGAAGGGGCGGAGCTTAGTGGTTCAGGAAACCATCTGTGTGATGATCCAGGTGTCACTGAGGCGTACAGCTAATCACCAGAACCTGGTTAGGTTTAAAGTTCAGGTTCTTTGGTTTTCATTCAGGGATTAAACTCGCTCCGGTTCAGTGAAATGACTCGATGGACCTTCAGCCTCTTCGTCCACAGTCGGGACTCCAAATGGCGCTCAGAGCGAATGGCTGTTTTCTACCGTAGATAATCCGTGTTTTCTAAACTCCACTCTGACCTTTGACGACACTTGAAAGTATTTAGTGGAAATCTTCGGGGAAACGTTCCTGCGAATATCTGAGATGTCATTTTTTAGAAGTCTCTTGGTGTTTATGCTTGAAACAGTAGATTGACATGTTCTCCATCGGCTCACGCTGTGACGTTGTTCCTGTGAAGCTCAGCGGCTTCCACGGTTCTGCTGCTTTAGCGGATGAAGCTAAAGAAGCTTCATGAAGCTTCACCTGCAGCTCTGAGCGTGCTCAGTACAGGACGCTACCGACGTGACGGGAAACAGAAGGACGGACTTCCTGTCACCTGCAAGACAGGAACCTGTTAGCGTAGTTAGCTGCTAACATGCTAACACGTGGCTGACACTGCTCATGTCATGTACACGTTGCTGTTATTTTCCGTGTGTTCTGCATCCAGACACGGTTCTGTTGGAGAACCTTCTTCACAGACATGGACTTCTGGACCAGAACCCTCCAAATATCCTGTTGATGCTCATTAACACAAAGAGTTTGATTTGATGCATAAAATGTCCTGAAAAGCTCGACACATGTTTGAACAGAAGATTTGTCAGAAACATTTCAGACGTTCTGTTAAAGAAAATCAGAAAAACGTAAAACTCTCATTTCAGTCCAGAGATTTCCAGAAACAGACATGAACTCAGTTTATCACCAAACGGAACCATTTTTAGACGATTTAAAAACATGTCAGAACGCTGATAACAAGAATATTTAATCTATTAATTAATCTTATCTTTTTTAGTTTTAAGTGTAAAAGGAAAACATTTGTAGATATTTGATGTTAAACCACAAAGTCCAGAAGTCTGAGCTCAACAACAACCTGCAGGTTTACACACACATCGCATCTCATTTACTTTTTTCATATTCGTTTCGTTCTGATTATATATTTTTATCTCTCGGTTCCTTTCAGTTAAAACAAACTAAAGCTTCAGTCTGAAGTTTGGTTTCTTATTGAATTATCCAACAATAAACACGTTTTCATGTTTGAGTTTATGGATGTTTTTAAAATCAGTTTCTTTGTAAAACCCCAACAGAGACTCTGTGCTGCTGTTTCCCGTCCACCGCTCTGCAGAACCAATAATCAGCGATCAATAATCCAATAATGGGCTTTTTCTACTATGACGGTGTTGTTGTGTACCAAGCTGCTGCTGCTGCTGCATGCTCAGTGTGTAACCGTGAGCGTGAGCGAGTGAGAGTCTTTCTAATCCTTTCTTTTGGACTTTTCGGAGTGATTTTCTTCTTCTTCTTCTTCTTCTTCTTCTTCTTCTTCTTCTTCTTCGTGTTCAAAGTGTTTCTGTAAATAAACTGAGGTGGTCAAATGTTGCCGTCTGATTGGTCTGTTCTCACCGGTACCTTCGTTAAATCGTCCAATGAAATCAAAACAGCACAATGTTTCAGAAAATGTTCGACACATAGAAATATTGTTATAAATATTTTCTTGTAAAGACGCTCATTTATTCTGACAAATCTGATTTTTTTCCCAACAGATATTTTTCAATTGTTCTCATAAAATCAGGACTTGATCTTGAAATGATGCAACTTTTATCCCCGTTAGTAAAAACAATGAAATGACTGTTAGTGTAGTTTATAGATATTCACTCAGGTACAACATTTTAGGATTTTACTGTAAAATCTGACCATTTTTCATCAGCCCAGAGTTTTTCTGAGATTATTTGACATTTTCTCACAATATTTACTTTTTTCTTTAACGTAATTTTTTTCTCTTCCAGTTCGAGGTCTTGGGGATTAAACCTTTCTTTAAAAAACAACTCAAACTATTGTTTCTGAAACTTTCTGAATTTTTTTTTCAAGTAAAACTTATGAAGTAACAGGACTCATGTCAGTATTATTTTTATCATTACCTCTTTATGTTATTAAAACAAATACAATTTTAATTTATTCTTAAATCTAACAGATTTCCATTTTCAGAAGATTTTTACAGGAATATTTTGACTTAATCTTAGATTTTTTTTTTGTTGTTACACTCAAAATTCCTCAAACTGTGATTAGAGGAAATATTCATTCATACACTTTGAACTGGGCTCCACCTGGTGGAACAAGCAGGTACTGCAGCTGGTCTATGGTACATTTACTGACATCATGTAGAGAATACAGGTTTTCTCCATCTGATGGAGCCTCAGAACATCCTACCCTCTACATCCACCCTCTAACTCTACATCTACCCTCTAACTATACATCTACCCTCTAACCCTACATCTACCCTCTAACCCTACATCTGCCCTCTAACTCTACATCTACCCTCTAACCCTACATCTATCAGACTGGGACTCCATCCAACCATCCATCCATTGTCTTCCGCTTATCCGGGGTCGGGTCGCGGGGCCAGTAGGCGGAGCAGGTCGCCCCAGACCTCCCTCTCTGCTTTCCAGCTCTGCCTGGGGGATCCCGAGGCGTTCCCAGGCCAGCCGAGAGATATAATCCCTCCAGCGGGTCCTGGGTCTGCCCTGGGGTCTCCTCCCAGGTGGACGTGTTCGGAAAACCTCCAGAGAAAGCCTCCCTGGAGACATCCGAACCAGATGTCCAAACCACCTCAACTGGCTCCTTTCGACATGAAGGAACAGCGGCTCTACTCTGAGCTCCCTCCGGATGTCAGAGCTCCTCACCCACCCTGTGGGGAAGATCATTTCAGCTGCTTGTATCTGCGATCTTGTTCTTTCGGTCAGACTGGGACTCCGAATATTAAATTACTTGAATAAGAGTAAAAAAATAAATAACTTGATCAGGACATCACCACTTTCAACCACAGAAAACAGAATAGAGTAAAATAACCCCTGTCACACCTCAGACTGCACCCCAAACTGCCCCCGTCACACCTCAGACTGCACCCCAAACTGCCCC